CCCGCACGCAGCCCGTCGCGGCGGTCGCCTGACGCCGCAGAGCCCGGGCCCGTGCGGCGGTCGCGTCCCGCCCGAGAGATTTCCGCCAGGGAGGGCGCTCCACCCTGCAGGCGCCCCGCGGCATGCATCTCGCCGTCGAGCTCATCGCCGAGGCGGGCACTTTGGTCTGCGCGACCCCTCCCACGACGGGCGACACATTCGACGCGCGAGCCGAAGGGCGCGCACTCCGCGCAGCAAAGCATCTCGAGGTAGGCGCACCACCCTGCGAGGCCCCTTCCAGACACGCCACCCACCGCGGACGCCGCCCACCAGGATGGCACCCCGCACTCCAGCCCCCCCCGCAGCTTGCGCGCCCAGACTGCAGTGATCCACCAGATCGAGGTGGCCACCCAATGTGCAGCCCTCCACCCACCGTGGGCACCCCATTGTACGATGACCCCTGCCACCTCGGGCACCATCCCGGCTCGGATGGACCGGGGGCAACGCACGGTCTGCCTGCACACCCCCGCACCTCGGCCAACCTCCCAACCGACGATTCAGAGAGTGTTGCGAGCGAGCGACCTGGGGCAACGCGCGGTCTTGCGGCCCCCCCCCCCGCACCTCGGACATCCTCCCGGCTCGGATGGACCTGGGGCAATGCGCGGTCTGCCGCCCCCCCCCCCCCCCACACGCACCTCGGGCATCCTCCCGGCTCGGATGGACCTGGGGCAATGCGCGGTCTGCCGGCCCCCCCCCGCACCTCGGCCATTCTCCCTGATCAGACCTGGGGCAATGCGCTGTCTGCCGACCGCCCCCCCCGCACCTCGCCCGGCCTCCTGGCTCGAAAGAGCTCGGGCAACGCGCGCGGTCTGCCATTCTGCCATCTTGGACAATGGGGGAAGCGTTATTGCCGCCACCCCCGCCTCCCCACTCCCCAGCCCCAATGCATTGCCCGCCGCGGCCGCGGCGAATGCGGGCCCGAGTCTGGAAGCAACGCGGCGCGCGCTGACGGCCCCAAGAGCGACCAGCGCAAGATCGCGCCTTCACGATCACGGACAAGCAAGGACACTGGCGGGCGCGGCGACGCTGCCTCCTCGTCGCACGCATCGCTATCCCGAGCAGGTCTGCCCCGAACGCAAGCGCGGGCGGCGGGCCATTGAGTTGGGAATGGAAGCAGGGCGCGCAATGGGCCCGCTGTGGGCGGTAGGCTGATCGCGGCGCGCGCGCGCCGCCGGACCCGCCGAATTCGGCTTCGCACGGCTGAGGCGCGCGCGCCCACTAGCTCCCTGCGCGAACGCGCGCCTGCGAGTTGAAATCCGTAGACATGGCTCGGCCGACGCCGAGACGCGGGCCCCCGCCGACTGCGGGCCCACAAACTCGCTCGCGCCCCGCGCGAGACAGGTGCGCAGCGCACCGCGCAGCTCCCGCGTGCGCGACGCAGAACTAACTACCGAATGGCAATGCCAATTTCGAAACCCAACGGCCGACAACCTAGTGTTTCTCTCATTCTGATGGCATAGACGTGGAATGCGACATTGCGACGCAAATGAGACATCCCCATTACACGTCTGCCTGCCCGCGCCACGCAAGAGCGAACGGCGCCGAGTGGCCATGCTTGATGCGAGGATGGAACTGTGAAAACCAAGTGTTTCACCCGTATTCGCATGGTAGCAGGACGCAGCGCGATGCAACGCGCTGCCCCCGTTGCACGCGCGCGCCTGCGTGCGCGCAGCGGAAGACCGATGCAGCGTGGCCACCCTAAGCTCGATAACTAAATTGCGCGCGCCGTGTGCCTGACTTGCATTCCGAAGAGGCCCCAACGTGGACTGATGCATTGCGATGCAATGCGCGTTCCTCCGCGCTCGCGCGCGCGCTCATGCGCGCGTGCTCTCGCGCGTGCAATGCAAAAGGTGCTGCCGAATGGACCTCTTGACTTCGCAAATTCAACGGCTAAAACCTAGCGTTTCACTCGTATTCTGGGGGGGGGCTCAACGCGGAATAGTGCAATGTGGCACGGTGCGCTTCCCCCCTTGCTCGCGCGCGCGCGAGGGCGCGCGCGCGCGCTGGCGCCCGCGCGGGCGCAATGCAAAAACCGAAACCACACGGCCATCATAAGCTCGAATGATGAATAGTGGAAAGTAGACAAGCTGCTCCACATGTATGCTGCAAGCCCAAGCGCGCAATCACGCGTTGCGGCGCAATGCGCGCCCCTCGCTGCACGCGCGCAACGCATCAACACGCGCCGAGTAGCCAGACGACCGCTTTGCGAAAAACCCACAGATCCACTCCTATCCTGAGGCCCCAACGTCAAACAAAAATGTGGCACAATGACCTGACCTCGTTGCCCCCGCGCGCGCGCCCGCGCGCGCAATGCAGAAGCCTATTAGGGCAACCGGTACAGAGTAGCCATCCTACTTTTGAAAACTGAACGGTGGAAAACCAATCGTTCCACACGCATTCTGGAGGCCGAAAACGTGGAATCAATCATTGTGGCCCACTCTGCGTTCCTCGTTGCGCGCGCGTGCGCGCGCGTGCGCAATGCAAATGTCCTGCGCGTGATACCACTCTACATTTGAAACAAAAAAAAGACGGGTGAAAACCAACCATTTCACTCGCATTCTGGAGGGCTCAACGTGACATGACGCCTTGCGTCGCGATGTAGTTTCCTGGTTGATCGCGCGCGCACGCGCGCGCGCGTGGACAAGGCAATAGCTCACGCCGAATGGCAACCCGAATTTCGACAAGTGAACGGTGGAAACCAATCGCTTCACTCGTATTCTGAGAGCCTCAAGGTGGAATAATACACGGCGGTGCAAATGCATTTCCCTCGTTGACCGCGCGCTCGAACGCGAGCGCGCAATGCAAAGGCGCTGTCGACAACCAAATTTTGCTCATGAAATGTTTCATTCGTATTCTGGAGACCTCAACGTCGAAAAATGCAATGCGGTGTAATATGTGTTCCTCGTCGCTCTTGCGCGCGCGCGCGGGCGCGCGCAGTGCAAAAACCAATAAGACAACTGATGCAGGATCGCCATCTTGATCTCAAGAACTAAACTGTTTAAATCAACTATGTCACTCGTGTTCTGCGGCCTCAACGTGGAATAATGCATTGTGGTACGCTGTACTTTCCTCGTCGCGCGCGCGCGTGCGCGCGCGCGCCCGCGCGTGCATCATGTAAACGCTTCTATAGAATAGCCATCTTAATCTCGAAATGTCAATGGCGAAAAAAAAACTTGTTTCACTTCTAGTTCTGGGGGCCCCGACGTGGATGTATGCATTGTGGAACAGTGGACTTTCCGGCGTCATAATATGGGCCGCGCGTTGGCGACCGCTTCCTGGGCGCCAAGCCACGCGGCCGCCCAAGAGCTGGCCGCGGCAGCCCACGGATCGGGCCTCTCCTTGCCCATGCTTGGGCCTAATGCAGCGGGGCGTGACATCGTGCGCGACCGCATTCCAAATAATGCACGGGGTCCGAAAACGCAGCGAGCGGAACCTCCGCTCCATTGGGAGCCCGGGGGAGGCAAACATAATTCATGTTAGCTCCTGGGAAACAATGAGGCACTGCGAGCTTACATGAGCCCCCAAGCTCCGCGTGGAACCGGCGACGGGCCAGTGGAACGACTGGGCGAGAATGCCGAATGAAGGTGGGGCCCACAGTAACCATTTGCATACGCGATGAACCATATGGTGTCCTATAGGCACCGAAACGACTCCAAAGGCAAGTGAGGGATTCAATGAGAAGCCCGAGGGCACCATCAGACGCCGATTGCATACCACTGGGACTTACTGCGTCACACTGACAAGGGCCCCAATGTTGAAACTACGCATGCGGCGCATTAACAATTCAACGCGTTCAAACATGATGACCCTGGACGCACAGGGCCCGCTGAGACTACTGAAGCCGTTTCCCCGCCGCCCCAATATGTGATGCACTGAGCGCCTGCTAGCGTCGCTGGGGTTATGCTACGCAGGGGCGTTTTGCGTTTTCGATCGCCGTCGAGCCCGTGCAACCGAATCCAGATGCGATCGACGACTGGCCTTTTCTATTGCATCAAAAACGCTTTGAACAAACGCTGGTACAATCGGATTCCTAATGTGTTGTTTTTTTTGCTTCGTTCGGAAAGTGAGGCTATCAAAAAAACACTGCCTGCAACTGTCAGATTATGCGCGTGCTGCTCTGGCGAGACTCCGGGCTGATACCCCGCCGCAAGATCCGCGACCGTCCCAGACCCCCAGGTGTTCGCAAACCATGGGAGATTTACGATGAGATTACATCGATGCAGACATGTTTTTCCTGACGTTTGCGAGTAGGCACTTTGCGAGTACTGGATCGCGCTCGGTGACCCTGCCTCCTCTCCTCTCGTGGGCGAAACACGGGCCGGGCCCCTGGGCCGCGACTTCGCGGATCCGGGGCGCTGTTGCGCGGATGCCCCGCGCGGAACGTTTTCGTGCGACCGCGTCTATGATGGATCGCGCTATTGAATCCAGACCGCGAAGGCGCGGATACGGATAAGTTCGCCGTTCGTGAGAACGGAGAAGAAGAACACCTTCTCGAAGGCGGCGGGGCTTCTCACAAACCCTCCGGCCTTCTGAACAACTGTCTGTCTGTAGAATTGAGCCCCATTGGGGGGCTGTTACGCCGGAGTTGGCCTCGGATTGAGCCCGATTAAGCGGGATTACGCCGGATTAAACTGGATTAAGCGGGATGCAGCCAGATTTCGGACCAGGGCAAAATCAGAATTTGACCTCCCAAGAGTTGCACCCGAAAGGGAGGGCTCGGAAAACTGCCGGGGAGGACGGGATCTTTCCGAACCTCCGGAGAAGGCCCGCCCGCCCGTTCCCGCTTCCCCACCTGGGCCCTCCGCCAGAACGAACATGAAGGGCCCATCGCCGGTTCTCGCGGCTCGATCGGGGGCCACATGCGAACCCTCCCCTCAGAAATCGTGGGGGTAGGAGTAGGGTTCGCATGTGGCCCCCTACTCGAGAAACTGTCCCACAGTCAGTGGCGGGCGAGGGGGCACCGTCGAGTAAGGCTCCAGCGGGTACCTCCCGTCCTTCATCAGCTTGCTGTTGTTACTGCGCACGCCCACGGAGGTAAGCATAGGTCGGGCATGTCTTCCAACAGGCGGATTCTGAAGGAAAAATCGTAAATAGCAAAACATGCTCAACAATTGTTGAATAGATCCTCCTGTAGAGGAACGTGCCCGACGTAAGGGTACAAGCGGCAAAACCACGACGGGACCAGGGCACGCAGTGGCCGCGCGAGCACGAGGAGGACGAACATGAGGAAGAGGAAGAAGGGGGCGGGGAAGGAGGAGGAGGGGGAAGGGAGGAGGGGGGAGGGGGGAGGGAGGAGGGACGAGGGAGAACGGAGGAGGGAAGAGGGAGGAGGGAGAAAGGAGGAGGAGGTCAGGAGGAGGAGGAGTAGGAGGGAGGAGGAGGAGAAGGGAGGGAGGGAGGGAGGGAGGGAGGAGGGAGGGAGGGAGGGGAGGGAGGGAGGGAGGGAGGAGGAGGAGGGAGGGAGGGAGGGAGGGAGGGAGGGAGGGAGGGAGGGAGGGAGGAGGGAGGGAGGAGGAGAGGAGGAGGAGGAGGAGGAGGAGGAGGAGGAAGGGCAGGGCAGGCCGGCGCTCGGGGGTCAAAGCTCCTCTGAGGAGGAGGAGGAGGAGGAGGAGGAGGAGGGAGGGAGGAGGAGAGAAAAGGAGGAGGAGGAGGAGAGAGGAGGGAGGGAGGAGGAGGAGGAGGAGGAGGAGGAGGGAGGAGGAGGAGGAGGTGGAGAAGGAGGAGGAGGAGGAGGAGGAGAAGGAGGAGGAAGCGCGAGGCGAAGGATGGCGAGGAGCCCGTGATGAACAGGGCACCGCCCACGAGACTTCTGCCACCGGGGCGGACGAAGGCCCCAGCTCCGCACGGCAACTGCACGGACGCGTGCACGCGCAAGCGCTCACGCTTTCCAAGGCTCCCAGACCTCCAACGTCGTGCTTTGCATGTGCTGTTCAACGTCATGGAACTAGAAGATGGCCTGCTGATGCCGACATTCGCGGCGAACTTAGTTCTACTGTTCCAGACCCTCCTGTGCTGGGCACTCGCTCTGAACACAGTAATGCTGCCCCCGCCCCCGATCTGCACAATTGTCGCCACTTCGGAGAACTCCTGGGACTAAGCGGGACCACGCCTCCCTGGGTGCTGTTAGCTGAACTGTCGTGGAATGCGCAAGGTCATACGATGTCCAACGGAGCGAGTTCCTATGCATATTCAAGAGGGACTCTGGGAGCTGTCAAATTCGCAATTGTCGCAACGCTCGAAAATCAGGGGCGGTGGAAACTCGCCTCTCATGGTGCTGCCAACTGCGCAAGGGCTGCCGATGCGGTGACCTCAGGTCAGGCATGTCCCCCTACAGGCGGATGTTGGGCGAAATTCGCTTTAACACAATTATAGCCGGAGTGCAGTATCCCCAAACAGGGTTTTTAGACCCACTGCGGTTTCCAAGGTCGATTGCGTGCCCGCCTAGTGCGGGCTGGCATGGCATGTTAAAACATGCCTCCTCCTCCTCCTCCTCCTCGTCCACCTCCTCTTCATCCCGAAAGGCATCTCGGAACCCAGAGTTGCGAGGATGTCTCCAGCGTAACGGGCTGGACCACCTCGCGCGCGGCATTTCGGACCCCAGAGTTGCGACGATGTCTCGGGCGAAACGTGCTGCGAGGAAGTCTCAGGCGAAACGGGCCGGACCACCTCGAGCGCGGCGTCTCAGAGCTCCGAGTTGCGGGGGCCTCCTGGTGCCTCCTGGGGCCTCCTGGGGACCTCCTGGGGCTTCCTCCCGGGCCTCCTGTGGCCTCCTGAACTCCACCTGAGGTTTCCTGAAGCATCTTGGGGCTCCCAGGGGGGATATCTAACCTGTGGCCGTTTGGGCCTCTCCAAATACAGGGGGGGGGCCACAGGAGCAGGAAAAATCAACGAATCGACACCGGATGTGTATTAACTTGACACGTTCTGATAGAGGGCCTCCTGGGGCCTCCTGGGAGCCTCCTGGGAATCTCCTGCGGACCCCTGGGGCCTGTCCTGGGCGTCCTGCGGCCTCCTGAAGCTCTCTGGGACCTCCCCCTCCTCCTGCCTGCTCCCTCATGCACATCATCCGCCTCCTCCTTCTCCCTTCCATCTCCTCCTCCTCCTCCTCCTCCTCCTCCTCCTCCTCCACCTCCTCTTCATCGCGAACGGCATTTCGGAGCCTAGAGTTGCGAGGATGTCTCCAGCGTAACGGGCTGGACCACCTCGCGCGCGGCATCTCGGACCCCAGAGTTGCGACGATGTCTCGGGCGAAACGTGCTGCGAGGAAGTCTCAGGCGAAACGGGCCGGACCACCTCGAGCGCGGCGTCTCAGAGCTCCGAGTTGCGGGGGCCTCCTGGTGCCTCCTGGGGCCTCCTGGGGACCTCCTGGAGCTTCCTCCTGGGCCTCCTGTGGCCTCGTGAACTCCACCTGGGGTTTCCTGAAGCCTCTTGGGGCTCCCAGGGGGGATATCTAACCTGTGGCCGTTTGGGCCTCTCCAAATGGAGGGGGGGGCACAAGAGCAGGAAAAATCAACGAATCGACACCGGATGTGTATTAACTTGACACGTTCTGAAGCGGCCTCCTGGGGCCTCCCGGGAGCCTCCTGGGAATCTCCTGGAGACCCCTGGGGCCTGTCCTGGGCGTCCTGCGGCCTCCTGGTGCCTCCTGGGCCTCCTGGGGACCTCCTGGAGCTTCCTCCTGGGCCTCCTGTGGCCTCCTGAACTCCACCTGAGGTTTCCTGAAGCATCTTGGGGCTCCCAGGGGGGATATCTAACCTGTGGCCGTTTGGGCCTCTCCAAATGGAGGGGGGGGCACAAGAGCAGGAAAAATCAACGAATCGACACCGGATGTGTATTAACTTGACACGTTCTGATAGAGGGCCTCCTCCTGGGGCCTCCTGGGAATCTCCTGGGGGCCCCTGGGGCCTGTCCTGGGCGTCCTGCGGCCTCCTGGACCTCTCTGGGGCCTCCTGAGGCTCGCAGGGTCCCATGGAGGATATGTAACATGTGGCCTTCTGGGCCCCCAGGCTGGACCACCTCTTGCGCAGCATCTGAGAGCTCAGAAAGCGCGAGAATATCTTGTGCGAAACAGGCCGGACCACCTTGCGCACGGCATCTCAGATCTCAGAGTTGCAAGGATTTCTCAGGCGAGACGGGCCGGACCACCTCGCGCAGGGCATCTCAGAGCTCAGAAGTTCGAGGATGTCTCAGGCGAAACGGGCCGGACCACCTCGCGCGCGGCATCGGGGAGATCAGAGTTTCGAGGATGTCTCAGGCGAAACGGGCCGGACCACCTCGCGCGCGGCATCTTGGAGCTCAGAGTTGCGAGGATGTCTCAGGCGAAACGGCCCGGACCACCTCTCGCGCGGCATCTGGGAGCTCAGAGTTTCGAGGATGTCTCAAGCGAAACGGCCCGGACCACCTCTCGCGCGGCCTCTCAGAGCTCAGATTTAGGAGGATGTCTCAGGCGAAACGCTCAATCCCGGACAACTCAGAAACGAGAGTTGTGAGGATGTCTCAGGCGAAACGGGCCGGACCACCACATTTGTTTGAGGATGTCTCTGCTTAGCTTTCCCTCGGCCGGAATTAGCTTCTATCACAACAGCACCCCGTTCAGCAAGCTGTTTGGGGAAAAACAGAATGGTCAATCAATCCCCCAAAAACATCCCCAAACTATGTTGGACTATTTTTGAACATTCCAACTGTAGAGGGACAGGCCCGCCTTACCGATAGCCCAACCATGACGTCTCGCCTCTTTTGGTGCTGCCCGCTGCGCAACTATCGTAGTTTCCGCGCGGTCTCTGCAAATGCAACGGGGCGTGGTCCAACGGGGTGCTGTCCCACGAAATTGAAAGCGCACAAGAGATCTCGCCTCCCCAGGTGATGCCAGATGTCGAATGTGCAACAAAGTAACGTCATCGTGGGGAGTTTAACGGAGCATCCCCTTCGCATACCCAAGGGCACCTCGCCTGCACGGGTGTCATCAAGGACCGCCGCGCCGCGTGAACTCGTGAGAGGTCCAACGGAGCGCGTTCCTGCGCAAACCCAAGCGGGGCATCGCCCTTGTGGGTGCTGGAGAACTCGCATAACCGTCGCCGACCTCGAAAATCTTGGGAGGTCGCGCGGATATGTGGCCCCAAGCAACCCCCCTTTGCCAACTGACGCCATTCTCCCAACTCGGGGATCTTCTGACCCGGGTCTATCCAGACCCGGGTCAGCGTGAAACCAAACAACTGCAGCGCAGAAGAGAAAAACCGCAACGCAGGTCTTCGCAAACCCGGGTTCAGCCAATATGCGCGGCCGCCTCGCGGCCACGAACGGCTCGCTAACCCGGGGTCGGCCAGAGGGGGTCTCTGCAGGATCCTGCAGGATCCGGAGCCCTGGCTGACCCCCGTCTGCATTGACTTACCGGGCGGAGAACGGTATAACATATTTTTTTTCGCTGTCGGGGGCGCCTGTCCCAGGGCGGCTGGAAAGTTTATACCCTTACGGTGGCACCGTAGTGGTATAAACTTTCCAGCCGCGTTCTGCTGTTGCATCTTCGGGGGACCTCGCCTGTCCCTAAAATTGGTGCCTTTTTGGGGGCCCGACGCGGGCTCGATGCGGACTCGACGTGGATTTGGCATGGATTCGACGCGGATTCGACACGGATCCGACGCGTCCGACATGGATTCGACACGCATTCGACGCGGACAGGGCCGCGACGGGACAAACAAGGTCCTCCGAAGATGCAACATACCCGGGGACCGTGGGGGGCCCCGCGAGCCGGAACACGGCGACAAACCTCAGGATCCGTTTCCCCCATGGCGACGCTCACGCTGCGGATGAAGCACAGTCGGGGCCCTGAAGAAGGAACCCTTTTGGTTTGGGAGGGGCTCCGCGTTCCTGAGGTGTTTTACAGCTTGCCTCAGGTTTTCCTCATGTAGGGGGAAAACAAACCTCCCTCGCTTTTGACCACCCTCGCTTCCAAGAGATACCAAACGATGCCAAATTGCAGCCTGTACTGGTCAGGCCGCTTGACGAGGAGGCGCGTGGTA